CATTCCCTGTCCTCCTGTGCCACTGGTGGAGGGAGGAGGTAGAGAAAATTTGGAGTGAAGTTAAGCCCAGGAAGAAGGGAGAGGTGGGGGGAAGGTGTTTTTAAGATTTGGTTTTGTTTCTTATTATCCTACTCTGATTTGGTTGGTAATAAATTAAACTAATTTCTCCAAGTCAAGTCTGTTTTGCTCGTGGCGGTAATTGCTGAGTGATCTCCCTGTCCTTATCTCAACCCAGGAACCTTTCATTATGTTTTCTCTCCCCTGTCCAGCTGAGGAAGGAAGTGACAAAGTGGCTTTGGTGGGCACCTGGTATCCAGCCAGGGTCAACCCACCAACACAGTGTAAAGCCTCGTCAAATTCTGGCTTATGAACTCCAACCAGACGCAATTTCTGGATGCCCACTTTTAGGGCAGGGTTATGAAAGACATGTGATGAGGCAGCCTCTTGATGTGACACCTTTGGACAAAGCGCCTCTTGCCAGGGAATCACCCAGCTCAGGTTGAGGATCCACTGCAAGGTGAGGATGCCCATGGCACAGAGAGGCGGGGAACGGTCCTGCTGTAGGGAATGGCTCTGCTCGACTCGGGCCACAGCTCATCTCTGTGGGAACGCATGAGAGAAATGCAAAAGCAGTCAGAAGCTGAAGTAGGGGCTGGGAGGGAGAGTGTGAGAGCTGCTGGCACACAGACTCCACGCTGCAGTGGGGAAGATGCACATGGAGCCACGGGGGATCCCACACTTGCTGCAGGCACTCAACAGGAGAACGAGATGTTTGCCAAATGGAAGAAAAGAGGGACTGGAAAATTATCACACTAAAATTTTAAACTCCAGCAGTGGGAACAGCATTACTTTCGTAGGCTGTTCTAACTAGAAAAGCAACTCACACCCTTGAGGCAAGCTACTTTTATTGACATTAGGAGAGATATATTTTTCTCTCTTTATCTACAATATACAATTCAGGAATTGTTTCCTGCAGATAAAAGCCTCATTGTTATACATACAATAAACTGAAGTAAAAGTGATTCATGTTATTTCCATCTCCAACTTTAATAATGATTTAAATCAGCAATAAGATAAAATCAAAGCTTATCATCTAAATCAAAATGATTGTTTATTTGTACACTTTAGGTTTTTCCTTTATAGCTTATTATTTGGTTGGAAACGATGAAATACACTGACTTGCAAATGGATATAGGCTTTTCAGTAAATGCTGCAGTTTCTGTCAGCCAAGAAGATGCCCTCATTTCAGTAAATATTCTGTTTATCATAGATTTGTTTAGTTATACATGGTTAATATGCATTATTTCACCCGATACCGTTCTCTTCTATTTCCTATTAATGTACCATTTTAAAATTTAGAGCAAACACAATGCATTCTCCCACATCTCTTTTTAACCTGTATCTTTGAAAAGGAAATCAATCCCAGACCGGTTTCTCAGCTTTGAACGATCAAGACATTCAAATGAACCACTGCCTTTGCTCTCTCTGCAGGCACAGCAAAGGCTGTTCTACCACAAGAGGTGTAGCATTCATTCACCTTCACTTACCATTTCAGAGTTTAACTTTGCATTTGTTAAACAAGCATAAAACCCCTTAAACAAACAAATAAACAAATATTTTCCCTGGTTGCTTTCAGTTTTTACTTTTAGTCCTAGCCCCATAATCTAGAAAGATTATTTGAAACCAAAATTAATGTTTTAAAACTTTCTTTATAGTTTAGCTGGTTTTATAATTCCTCATAGCTGCATTTTTAGAACTATGTGTCTTTTTGTTTGTTTTTGAAACAGTTCTGTCTTCTTGCAACATTCACATTTGTACTAAGAGCCCTCTCCCAATTAGGGAGAGTACTTCCAGTAATGTCACATAGAGGCTTAGTATTGACTGACAGTTTGGCCTAAGATGACTGTTTTGGATATTACACCTTCCCCTACCTTTTATGATCATGCTTAAAAGCAACTATTGTATCTTTTCTTTGACTACTGCAGGCTTTGTAGCAATATTTGCTTACTCAGAGCTATAAATGACAGAGGACCTGCCCCCGGCTGTGTGCCTTGTAAAAATTACCCAATAAATTTAGACATCCAGCAGTTTATTTAGAGATGGTCTTAAACGGGTTCTGATCCACTGAAAGGTAAATGCAAATGTTTTCTACCTATGACAAGACGGACCAGTCTTATAACATAGAAAATTGGTAAGATTTCCTTATGTGACCATCAAACAGAATATGCCTTTCCCTCTTTATGACTTACCTTTATGCTTTTCTTGAACATGTAGCCTGGTGTTAAAGATCCTTTTCTAAGGAGTTCGCTGAAGATAACTATTTGCTCAAAGAGAAACACCCTACGCTCCTTTGGTCGAGACTGAACTCCAGAATCCTGCTCTGTCACGTAGAAGGTGTCCTGCTGCAGCAGCTTGCCTTGAGCTGTCAGCTTGCCCTGAGAAGTAGAGAAGGCATCAACATTACAAATGCTGATCCACCATGATCCCACAAGACAATCTGCTATGTTTTGTGCAGTTCAAGTTTTCCAAGCATCACTGAATTCCTGTGAGACATAGCCCCTCTAAGTTATCAAAGCGGCAATCTTGTACATCAAGACCTCAGTTTAAGGAAAATAACATAGGTTTTCTTTGTTCTCATTGCCACTTATTGTGCATATAAAACCAAAAGCAAGAGGTCTCAAGTAGACTGCTTTGTCTAGACCAAATACTTCATTTCAAACACTGCTCCCATTATGTAGTTTGTTACTGTAGGGCCTTGGATTCCCTCTAGTCATGAGCTCTCCATCACCCCCTAAGCCAGTAGTCAATGACACAACACTTCTGAAGGTGCAAAAGAACAGGACCTACCTGTTTGCAGGAATGCTGCAGTGCATAACAGTAAGGCACACTTGACTTCGTTTTGGAGATAAGACATCTCACCAGGACTGCCAAAGTCTACACTGGCTTAGTTACAAACCACAAGCTGTAACCTGTGGGGTTATAACTCACAAGTCCCCTCCTGGATGTTGCCAAACTCAGAGGGAGCTGTTAACACGTTAATGCTAGGTGACCTTACTAACAGGCAGAGCAGTCTGGTTCACCACTTATTTTGCTCTGGCAATAGATATGAGAAGTCTAATTTAAGCTTGCAGAAGCTTTTACAGACCTTACATTTTGAAGAAATGTTAGATTGTCACAAGTTTAGAGTGAGAGGTGTATCATTCCCACCTTCCAAACCTCACCAAAGCGTGCAGCTCAGCACTCGAGAAGAACAAGCACTAGATAGACAGCCTGGAGTAGGGCAGATTGTAGAGACAATCATAGAAAGATAAAATACTTTTCCTTGCCTCATTGTTATTATAAGCAGAATGCAAATGCATACCTCAAAGCCCTGGAGGCGACCCAGGTTCATCATATCATTGCAACGTTTCGGTACAAGGCACATTAATTCGACTGCTTTCTGTTAAGGAAAAAGGATGTTGTATTATTACAAGAGAATCAGAGGGTTCCTAAAAGCAAAGTGTCAAATAATGAACTTCAATAGCATGATCACTGCTAGCAGTTATTCACGGTGAGGCCGTTGTGCACTGTACAGTAATGTCTAAAAGAAGATGGTGCACCTACAATGCAGGACTGTGCCTTCATCTTTTATTTCTGACTTAAGTGAAGAGAAATACCACATTTAGAATACCAGCGGGATCTTTAACTATTGTCAAAGGAATACTGGGGTTTTCATTCCTCCATATAAAGTGCCATTAGATAACACAGCACGATTGTCCAGGACATGAAAACTTACCTCTATATCAGAGCACTCCAGACCAGCTTTTTCACTGTACCTCAGGAAGTCCTGGAGAAAGCAGAAAGGTTTGCATTAAGGCACTTCAGAAAGAGAAAACAAAAGAGGCCGGTTTGAAAAAGAAAAACCATATTCGGCATGTGATTTTCTGAGAAAGAACTTGCTAATATTAATAAATTCATCTTCAGATGTTGCTGAAGCTTATAATCACTTCATAGATATGGAAAAGGAGTGTAGACGGTTGCTGAGAACATCACAGAAAAAAGACACAAAGCTGGGATCAGTCCTTGGGAATGCTTACTTGGTCCCTGTCTTAAGTCACAAGACTACACACACTTGAAGATTTTTCTTTTCCTTTTGCCATTTCAGGGAACACACTGCTGTCTCTTTGCTAGACCAATTACCAAACTGTGGCTGATGGCAGCCTGCTTGAGACTAGGTCAAAAAAAGAGAAGAAACCAGCTCAGAGCCCTGGTACTGCTGGAGATTACAGCGTAGGGTTCAGATACACCTAATTTTAGATATTAGCTTGAGACTCCTCGAGATGAATTTTCAGAAATGCTGAGTAATTGGCATTGTGAATAAGACTATAGAAGCCAGAGTGGTCAGGCTCCTTGAGAAAAAAAATTATGATGAGCTCCCCAAATTTTAAGACATCAGAATATTCTGTAAATAACTTTTTTATGCAAATTTGAAGAGAGAGAGTAAGAAAGGGAGGCTATAGCATTTATTAGTAGCATGCCATTCAGCACCAAAGACAGGCTTTATTAGCTCACTTGTGCATTTTTATTGCAATTTTAAAAAACTGAATAAAAGTGTGCTCTGAAACTTCAGAGGAAGAAAATACCTATTTGAAGTTTACTCTTCTATTAAAAAAATCCAATAGAAAGTTAAAAAAAATAATTCTTTTTATTATCCTAAATTTCGAACTGCTCCCACAATGTGGCTCTCCTGTTCTCTGGACATTTCCCATGGGACTCTGTCATTGTATGCCCATGTTTAAGTAGACTCCTCTTTCCTCTTAATTTGATGAAGTTGTTCAGTTAAAACTAAGGTTGATGTAAAATAACAGCATCTAATGCAAGATGCAGACTATAGTTTAGTCCAAACTGTATCTTTCCACTCACCTTGAGAAGAAGCTGATATTTAGTTATTCTTTGAATGGGTTTGATCAGAAAGTCACTGATGGTTAGCCGTTGGCTTATTTCCTGTTGAACCTCCTAAAAATTAAGGATTAAAAACAATTGCAAACAATCACAGAGTTAGACAGAGAACACGATAAAATGTCTCAGCAGAGACTTATTTCCACAGAAAGTTTGTCTGTTCTTAATCTTTTGTTTGCAAGAGGGAATTTTAGAGGATTTAAAAATCTGCCATATCCTATTTAGGCAAGAACTGGGTAAAAGTCATGACCGAGCTGGAAGCATTGGAAAGCACAGGATCCCTTCCCCCTTTGAGCTGATCAAGCAGGACTGCAAGGTCTGGAGACCGCTCTTTCCACTGCAGAAAGGATTAGCTCACAAACAAGTCCTGCAGAGCATGCCCTTGGGTGAAACAAAACATCTTTCCCTTGTTAAACAAGCTTCTTTCGCATTAATATCTAAATGCGTCTAGTCTCAAAGATTTCTTGAAACAGACAAAGTTATTGGGAATTTATGAGAGGCACCACCCAGCTCCAACAGCTTGTACCTCCTCCTCTGTTTGTAGACTACAGATTAAAAAGTCTTATTTTATTCTGGACAGAAGTCAATGCAGCTGTGGTACCCTGAGGGCCACAGAGTTAGTACTGGAGTAAATATTTATTAGAAATTAACAATATGAAAATTTTAAATAAATTAAATAATAACATTTTTCCCCCATAGCAGAGACTTCAACAGCATGTGCAGTATCAAAATCTTCTCGAGTTTGTTTTAGGTAAACCTCACAGGTTATAAAATAGTTTACTTGACTAGGACTCACAGCTCTAAGCAGCAATAATGTATAATGAGCCATGCTTACCTCAAAGTATGCCTCGTACTCAGCTACTATATATTCAGATCGTGGCTTGTTTTGGCAATATACCACATACATGTGTAATCGCCGCTCCTATGAAAGCAAGAGGTACAGCAGCCTGGTGAGATATTGGCTACCACTCTGTTCTGCTGTTAAAAGCTGGCAGAAAGTTGCTATGATGTTCTGCTTGGTCTTCCTTATTTTTGGTTTAATCAAAGATTTAGTTTGCTGAAGTAGGAAAGCAAATTGGTAACTGGTTCTGTTCTCCACTTTCTGCACCTTAGGCAAGGGGAGATTTCCATGGGGTAGCCAGTTAGAGATGTTGACCCCACACTGGTAGGTCTGACATTTGCTATAGAGTTGTGCTCTGGCTAATATCACACAAACATGTCAATCGCAGCAGTTGGCAAGTACCTGCCACAATTCTATTTTGGCAGATGTCCTTGGCCACATCACTTTTGCCCCCAAAATAAGAAGTCTGCAAGAAGGCAATGACTAATGCTTTAGTTCAGTCCAGCTGCTCACTGAAGATGCATAACTATAGGGTGACTCTATGTTTAAATTAAGTTTAGACATGTAAAAGTATCAAGTAGACACAAACAGATGTTGTTGGAAAGGAGTCATCACACCCTAAATGACAATTATACTAGAGATAGGTAACAAAATAGAACTTACATGCTTAATAAAAAGCTGTGCTAAACGGTCAGGTTCTTGAAGACATTTTTCCAGTTCAGCCAGGAAAAAGCTAAAAGAAAGGATATCAGCATTTCAGAATACTTCTTTAGGTCATCCCAGCAGCAAACTAGTTGTCCTTCAGATACATCGGTGCAATTTTGGCTATAGTATTCAATAATAAATGAAAAGGTAAGCTTGGCTTCAGCCCTTAATGGTGGGATTTCTAAAACATTAGATGAGAGCTGTGAAATATGGAGCTCTTGTCTTGCAAACTATCTGCTATTCTTTACTATTACAGTGTTTTCAATTTTTAAAAAGTGCCAATCACTATCTAATTGCAAGAGTTGCTTATCTTCACTGAGAACTCCCAAAGTAAAAGTTTTCCATGTATCAAAATGCTTGTGAAAACTCAACTGAAGCTTTACAAGGAGTTCTCAGTTGCCTGAGCAGACCTGGAGTACTGGTCAACGTGAATGAGATGCAGAAGTTTCCACTTGAATAAAAAAATCAACACGTTTTTGATGGCGGTATTTTAGCGGGTTCTGTTTTTCACAGTTTTTTGTTGGTTTTTTAATTGTATAATTAATAAATTACACAATTTTATGTAATTCATAATAGTAATGGTAATTGATAAACACCGACTCTATCTTGACCTGCAGTTTTGGGAGGTCATTCATTCTAGCTTGAATGCCCTGACCAAGAATATACTGGAATGCCTAAAAATGAGGTAAAAGCAGCTAAACTAAACTTTTAGAAATACTGGTAGGTTTTTCTAACTTGTAGGCAAATCCTGACAATCTCCCTTTCCATGATCTTCCTCTTTTTCACTGCAGGATTTCTCTCTCAAGTGCCTCCATGGATTTGCTACAGTAGCCGCATTTGGTGAGAGGACATGCCTGCAATGGTCTGGACCCAAGGAAACCCAGAACCACAAAAAAATATGCATATCGTACAGCTGTCCCAACTAAACATCCCTATTGCTAACATCAGATACAGCTGCTTCCGTAACTCAATCCTCTGTAAATGTTAAATTCATCTGCATTTAAATAGACTTCTTGACCCAGATATGCAGAACTAAAAATAGGGAATCCCTCCCTATGTGTTACAGAAAACTCCTATCATCACACTTCAACACTGAACGGCACTGGCAAAAACACTCCGTTGTTGGTATCAACTTAATATATGGTGAAGTTTTTCCTGGCATTTTTTGTTTTGTGCTCACAAGGGCATCTGTCAGAACATAAAGACCAGCTCAGGCGGTGAGATAACGACCTGCGGGACACATGATAGGAAGGGTATCATGTTTCCTGGGTGAGGGAAATTTCTAGAGCTGAAGGAAGATCCAGCCCTGTGTCCATTGCTCAAGACTGCACATGCACGCTCAAATTCTAGTTCGCTGGAGCTGTAGACTATTTCTGAGTAGCGGAGTTGAAATGATGACCGTATTATCCATAAGCAAGACATTACTGTTCATAAAGTTACAGTGGAAATGGCCAAGGGCTTGAAATAAGCTTCGTGTTTCCAGCAGCTTTTCAAAGGCTACTTGTAGGAGTAAGATTTTTCAAGGAACAGAGTTCCTAACTCAGAGTCAAAAGCATCAACTAGGCCAAAGCAAGTCAGAGCTTTCATGTGAGAAGGATACTGAAGGTTCTTCCATTTTATCACCCTACTAGCCATATACTACTGGTATCGTCAGCCTTCGTGATCCTGTCAGCTGCATGTGAAGATGTTCATGTTGCTGAGAACCACAAGACATAGGAAGGAAACCATGACTTTCCAGTATTGCTACTGCTCATGGGATGAATTGAGCCTACCGCTGTGACCCAAGAAACACAATTATGGCAGCCTCAGCAGCTTTTCTAAGGATCCACCAAGTACCCCACCAGCAGCAACTCTCTGCGAGTCACATCCAGGCTGCTTATAAGCAGTAGCTCAGAAGCTGTGGATGGACCACAGTGGTATCTCCCATTGAGCCTGTTGCTGTGGCTCCCCAGCAAGGAGTGGCAGAGCCATTGGCAGCACAGCACTGATACAGAGCAGACTCCTGTGTGCAACGTTTCTGTCACGCTGACCAGCACTCCTGGCATGGTGTTTGCGCCAGCATAAAGCTGTATCTGTGATCAGAGATAGCATGACAAACATCCTCCCATGAAGCCAGACAGTGCAAAGCTATAGCCCATCAAAGTTTGGGTTTTTTTTCACTGGGAAAAATGATTTTATGCAAGACCAATACTTTGCATCATGCAGTTGTGCTGGTTTTGGCCGGGTTGACAAAGCCCTATATCAGGATCTAGTGTATCGTGAAACTGTGGCTAAAAGCACATGAATTAGAACATGTTCTCAGAATTCAAGATGGCCATGATTTGTGAAGTTATTAAGCAGCACTTACAAACCAACAGAGACTATTTAAAGTGAGACAACGTCCTTTGGAAGTTCAGCCCTGAATGACCTGCTGATGTTCAATTAAAAGCAGCTTAGACATACAGACATCGTATAACCCAATCCTTTATGGACGAGTGGTTAGGAAGGTGCTTAAAAAGGAACTAAACCAAAAACTTACTCTTTGTGCCAGTCATAGATCTGGTGAATATTGCCAAATACAATCTTGTCTTTCCCTTTCATATCTTCAGAAACTCCTTTTTCTTCTATCCTCTTCATGAAGCCCTTTAGGATTAATGATCAGTGATTAGCAAAGGCTTCATTTGAAGGAGGAGCATAATTACACTATTTTTAAAGAAGCAAAAGTTCAGTGTAGGATTTTTTAAGTTGAAGACACTTAAAATACCTTTTGTACAATTTAAAACCAGAAACTCATTTAGATACTTTAAATTACACATTTTGCTTGAAAGAAAACTTTAAAGTATTTATTCTGAATATCTACAATACTTATACAAACTGTTATTAGATGTCACTGAAGTGACAAGTGCAATTAGAAGATAAAAGTGAAACAAAAGTAGTTTATCAAGCTCTTGGCTTCTCTGGTAAGAGGAAGAAGCCAGACTCTGTACAGAGTTCTTCCATTCATCACCGTGAGTATTTTGTGGGAGCACAAAGCCAAGCAGTAAGTTTAAAAAGTCACATGAACAGGATTTCTCACACCTCCTGAGAGTTTCTTTATCAGCCTTTGTAGCACTGCAGCCCTGTCAGGTTTGCCAGTGGTGCATGATGTAAACAGAAGATAACACAAAGTTCTTCAAGTTTCAAAGCTGTTGAAAATCACTGTTAGATGGGCTGATGATTCTTCCTGGACTAGTGAATGCCAAAAGCATTGCTGAAAGCCCACTTCAATCATGTCCCTCCAGTTCTGAGTCCTTGCTGGTAAAAAAACCTGGACCCTGTATGTGAGTTGGCTCTGACAGTTGATCTTTAGGGATCAGCCAGGTCTTAACAACTTGAAGCTTAAAAAACTATGACTGTTTTTTAACAGAAAAAAACCCAAACTCTATTTTATCTCAAGATCTTTTTTGCAAAACAATAATCCTGGGGTCACATACACACCTCAGCACAGATCCAAACCCAGCTTCTGGAAATGCACTCAGACAGAGGACTTTAGTCCAGGTGCAAGCTCAAGTAAAGTACGTGTTACCATTACTCAGTATGACAGCAAGAAAAGCAGGAAATAAGCGGTAGGAGCGTAAGTTATTCTCCACCACTTCCCTCAAGGCTGCATTACAGCAGAAAGAGTTTGTCACAAGCAGGGTAGCCAAGGAAAACCTTTGCACACTGGAGTTGAAATGTAAAATACAACATTTGTTAGATGGAAACAAAAATAGTTTCCAAAGGCATTTCTTCTTGTTTCTGTCAACATGAGAAGGGGACCATGGAAGCAGAACACAAAATAAAGCAGTTTGTTTCTCATGCTGTATTTTTTGTTGTTGTCACTTGTCAGCATGGTGCTTTTTAGTGGGAAAACATTTTGCGTAGCAGGGTTTGCTTCAGCTCACCTCCACAACAGTTCCCAAGTCTTTGACGTAGTCTTTTTCAGTCTGTACCAGCTCATTTAAGACAAACCTAAATTAAAGCAGAACACACACATATTTGACCATATTCCTTGATGTTACTGTTTTCTCCTCTTACCACGTAATTACCTCTCCATAAAACCCCACCGTCATCCAGGTCACATAACATGACTCACTCTTCACTTACTTATAGCTCAGTGGAACATAAATGACAAAAATGTCACATTTCAGACGAGCATAGTTTCAATTCTCTTAACCATTCTTTCCTCCTACCCCTTTTCCCCCCACATCCCAGGATGGTGCAAGAGCAGCAGCACAAACAGCTGCCTGGATTTTGAACTACCCCTCCCTGCTCTCCTCTCCTCCATAGTGATGGAGATGTGTCCTGACCCATTTTGCAGCAAGTAAGAGAGGATTTCTTGCCCCAGTCCCCCCGGCTTTGCCCAAGATTCAGCAATTAAGTTTTAATTTGGAAGTTTCAAACACTTGGAAAACAAATCCCCTCTCCCGTCATAACCAAGAGCTTAATCTTTCAGACTAGGTAATCTATGTGTGGGTGTCAAATGCTTTACGCTGATTTCAGAGCTAATAATCCTGGGTAGGAGAGTCACCTAATGAAGGTCTGATGCATGCAAACAACAGCAAGTTAAAAAAAAGCTCCTCCTTTATAAGTCAAACCGACTAATCACATAATGTTCTTTTGAGGACAATTTTAAAAAGTTACAGCTTGCTGCAGACAGTTTGCCTCTCAATTACGCCAATACATAGATTTCGCACATGACAAATAAACTCCATCTGTGCTCAACTTTGCTATGGCAGTAACAAGGCTAACAAGATAGAGGAGTGCTTTCATGTCTGATATCGCTCCGTTCACATCAATCAGCAAACTGACCCACTTGAAATGATAGGGCTGAGGGCAAACAGTGCCAAGATAAAAGCCTTGTTGAAAACATCTAGAGGAAAAAGAAAAAGTAGACTGGCGTTGCAAGGAGAGACTCAGTTATTAGAGGTTACTGAGAAAATAAATCCTGCTCCCGCTGTGCTCCCAATGTGTCCCTCGCTCAGACAGAGCAGAGGAGATACTTAAGACACGTGGCAGGAAGAGGTCAAATAGCTTCTTGTTCATTTGAGAGTGAAATCCAGCCCCCTTGGCAGAAGGCAGGGCTGGCAGCGGCGATGCCAGATGCTTGCGCTCTCCGAAGCACCCTGCCAAGTTGTGTGCCTGGGTAGTAAACATGCATGGGGCAAAAGGCTGCTCTTCTACAAAGCAGCAGTGTGTGGCCCGAACAAGAGTATGCTGCACAGTCCCCTCTCGCTGGCTGACCTACCATGCCCTTGGGAAAGGCTTGCCATGTCTCCTCCGCCCGGGGAGGCATGCTGGGAGGTTACTTTTTGGCTCGTACCACCTCCATCTGTATTGCTCCCCATGAACACAGAGAGCTGCTGAGGGAATGTGGAGAACCTCTCCCACCTGCCCACTGCCTCTCCTTTGGTTTGAGTTACTGCAAGGATCCATCTAGCCAAATCCTGCTCTCAAAATGGGGCAGTGGGTACTTGTAGTACATAATGCTGCAGGTCATGCAAGCAGGTGGGTGTAAATTAAAAATCAGTGCAGTGACCAAGTGTCTATCAGGTCAACAGACTAAACCTGCAAATCTACACCTCTATTAGGAACCAGAGTCTGCACCTCCACTGCTTACCTTAAACTCAGCACCAGCATTCCCCCAGCTTCCCTCTTCCTAGCAAGCAGAAAAATCAACCTTGACCACCTCTATTAGTCCTCTGAAGCCTACCTGACACAGGATCTTACAGGTACTCCCAGATTTAAGGTCTCTAAGATCCATGCTGCCAAATATTCAAGTTCACTCATTTTCTCATCTGATAACACGGAGCAAGGGCAGGCAGTTGCTTGGAAAGTGCCTGCCCTGGTCACCAGCAGCTATTGACTACACAGCTGTATTTAAAATAGCATGAACTGGAACAAGGATGGAGCCTCCTCACTTCTGAATAAGTCTGAATATCTGGATATCTTGGTAACTATTAAATCTATACTGAACAATGCTACTATTGCCTTATTGCTCATAGAAATGCAGCAATCAAGCCTGATGGAATAGGGGTTTCCTAACACCATGGCTAACTGCTGGCATGCACGTGCTGCCAGAGACACATGAAATTACTGCCCATGCCTCTGCGAAGAATCAGCTGCTGTTTTGTGGGGCATGGGAGGGTCACGCCTCGAGTTGGGAGCTCAGCTGTCTCATATGGCTATGGAGTTAAACCCAGCGAGCCGCAGAGATACAGAACACAGACACAAAGGAGCTGGAGAGGAGACAGATGTCTTGTGCTGAAAGCCACTAGCAGGTGCTCCTAAACATCCTGGCGTTTAGGAAATCTGGACGGACGCAGCCACTAATTATGCATAACATGCTGCCAGTCTCCCTGCCAGAAACTTCGCACGCTAGAAAGCATTACTGTATCTACGCTTCCAGTGGCAAGGGCCTCTGCACTAAAACTGCAACCTGCAGTTAGTTGTCAATTATCTAATTAATGAATTGCTACCAGAGAAACCCAAGAACTTGCAATATTGAGGAGCTTTTAGGAGACAGGCGTGGGCAGAGATGTTCCCTGCAGGAAGGCTGATGGCTGTCTAGTACAAAACTTATCCCATTCAGAAACACATCCAGGAGTGTCATGTCCCTGCCTGCTGCTGGGAGCTGATCCAGTCCCTCACTGTATCAGTTCTCTGGCTTCCTACAACAAACTGCAGGAGCAAATGATGGCTTTCACAGACCTGCAACACTTTGCTCCTACTTCCTCTTCTACTCTTAACTACCTCCTTGTTCTCCTCTGACTTGGTTTCCTTCCCTGCCTGGCATCTTTCTCAACTGGGCTGCTCTTCTTCCACCTCTCACCTTACCACACTCCAATGAGATCTGCACGCACCGTTACTTTTCCCATCAATCTACCATTTGATTAGATCACTGCAGTTACTGTTGTTAGTGTAAGAGGCAGTATAAAGAAAACAGCTACCTCAGCTCTCTTTCATATAATTCTTGATTCTGTTTCTCCAATTTTCTCTGTCCTTCAGCTGAACTATGTGTTTAAGAAATGCTTTAATCATGATAAGCTATGAGGGCACAAGTATTATTTTTGTTACAGTTAAGGGAGTGTACAGATAACTTTCATGAGCTGTCACCATTTCTTTCCTCTCCCATTACCATGAACACGAGGGTTTCCTAAATGAAACTTTCTCTTCAGTGGCGTGTTTCCACCACAAATGCATCTGAATTCTGCCCCTTCCTGCGCTAATAACGAAGGTAAAAAAATATTCTCTCATTCAAAAAATCCTAGTGGGATTATATCTGTTCTTTTCCTTGAATGTAGCTAACAAGGTCAACCACATATACCCCTTTGAGAGCCGATTTCACCTCTGGCAAACATCTCAGTAATACCTGTCTAGTTGTTCAGAAGCTTTTACAGCAACACATATTTGCTACCTGGAGTAAAAGCTGCACATTTTAAAGAGTGATGATGAACTTCCTGGGCGTGTAAGTGCTTTTACAAAGTATTTTTACAGGTTAAGAAAAAAACAGAAGCAAGCAGAACACAGTTTTACTCCCAGTTCCATGCTCATTCACTGACTACAAAGTATTCTTTCAGTGCAGCTAAGTGTCCTCCTTGGGTGCATATTTCGGAAAGAAGAACCAGCAAGACAACTTACATTCTGCCTCTCATTGCTTTGGCTTTTTGTTCCTCTTCAAGGTTTCGTGGGGGAGTTGAAGGCGTCATTCCTTCATTTAAGCAGCCAGTGGCATCTTTTAAGCTTCCTCGGTAAGATCCTCCTTCAAGGGTCTAAAAAAAACCCCAAAGAACAATAGAATAAACATTATCCTTGAACTCTGGCACCAGGGTTATCCTCTGTTTCAAGTCAGTTCTGCAATCAACACTGCAGTCTAAAACCAAGCAGAGTATTCAGCAATACTTTCCCACAGGACTTGTGAAACATAACCAAACTAGTTTTAAGTTGATACGAGACCTGCCCCAAAAAGCATTAAAACAGAGAAGACGTCCTTTTGCTAGAAGGTGGAAAAAGATGGTCCAGTAGCCCCAGCATGAGAAAATTCTTCCAAATAATTTCAAAACAACTTGAAAATATCCTGGTGTCTCAATCAGAACTAGTGTTAGGCTACACATGGTCAGTGTTTCTCTGTCAAAGACTGAATGGGGATTCTTCATAGTAAAGTAAAACACAAAATGAAACAGAAATAGATAAATAGTAACATTCCACAATAATTAGAGTTTCCCCCAAATCCCTGGAAAGCAATTGCAATTGACCTAACAGCTTGCATGCAGAGGAGAGAAAATAAAATATCTTCCGAAAATGCATCTAACTGGATTAATGAAATACTTTTCAATCTGTTAGTCCCTTGATGGAATAAAACTATTTTGAGTAAATTTTCTGGGAACGTCCTTCTCAGTTTCCCATGTCAAAGAGCTCCTTCACCACTTACTCCTTATCAAGCACCCTATGAACACTGACTATCTTCACGTACCAACATCCCAAACCAAGAAAATATCAAAACCTTCTGAAATGATTTGCTATATAAAGCTGCTTGCACAGAGTTACAGTAATTTAATAATCACTGTGGGTTTTTTTGTTTTGTTTTTACTTTTTTCATCCTTCCAGTATACTTAAGGAAATGAACCTTTGTAGGCTCATCATACCACTGCTTTAATCCTGACTTGTAATCAAGTTAAACTTGCTCAAAGCAAGCATTTACCTAATTTTAGAGGTCCTAGGACACGTAGGAAAGGGTTAGCTTTGATATTAACATTTAGAACTGTTTCAGGGAAAACTTAAGAGAAGCCAGATATGAAACAGGATTCACTCCTTGTCCAACAGACATGGCACCAGACAGGGAGAGTGCACGATACTGAAATTTTTGAACAAATTAAACCCAGAGCATTTTTATGGCTTATTCCACTCCCTGTCAGAAAGAGTTAACAAGGCAGACTAAAAGTGACACATGAATCTTTGTAAAATTAAAGCACAGCTGTGGCACTTCAAGCAGTTCTACTCTTTAGAGGGTCTTTTCAGGGAAGCCAGAGTACCAAACAAATTCACATGCTGGGTAGTAAAAGTCCTGTGCCTCAGAACAAGCTTTAAAACAAAATAAACAAAACATCCCACTGTGTAAAATATTTGAATACCAACAAGACCCTAGAAAGAGTACAGTACAGTAGCTCATGCTCTGCAAAGCCCACTCTAAAAGTGCCTTTCGACGATGCAGCCCAGAGCCTACATGGCAACGTGAGATGTAGGCTTCATCTCAAATGGGGAGCAAAAATATTAGACACTCTACTGAGAAGTAGAGCACATAGGGTTAATAGAAGCATAGCAGATGAAGGTGGAAAGCAAGGAAACCAGAAACAAGAGGCAGACTTCAAAGCCTTTCCCTAAAGTCATATCAGGCCTGTTGTGTACACAGTTTTCACACCACCACACTTACCAGCTTACTTTTGACCAACTTTTCTATTGCACTGACAAGATCCGCAGCAGTTGGGACATCGGAGGAGCTCTGTCGAGCAGCTAGCAAAGAAGAGGACTGCAAGACACCAGGTTGCAAAGGAAAAGCAAGTTAGCAGGATGAGAAGGGAGTAGGAAACCAGCGGTCAGTGAAGCAGCTTCTGAGATAGGAGAACAAATGTGGAAGGGGAGCAGGAGGGTTAGAAGACCACATGCATGGTCAGGTGAGCGACTGTCACCGTATCAGACAAGCACAGAATTGCCATCCAATTCTGGCTGCACATCTCCTTGCTGCAGTTCCAAGGCTGGGAACCAAGGAACAGCATCAAAGAACTAAAGTTCATTTGAAATAAGCTACAATACTCTTAATGTCTGTTGGTTCCTCCTTCAAAGGACATCTACGGTCTTACAGGCTCCAGAAAATTGATCTTCTTATTGCAGATGTAAGAAATTATCCCCTCCCCCATACATACATATTTAATAAATGCAGTTAAGTACAAGGTACACATGGAGTTACAGGCAATAGAAGAGGGGAGAAGCGGGGGGGAACAAATCATTCCCCCTCCCTTCCCCACAGATCAACTGCAACTCCAAATAAACTCAGATGACATCTCCCATTCATGCAACTTCAGCCACCTAAAATGTGTATCTTTTCTCTCCCCTCTCTGCAATCAGTGGAGAGAAAACACCCCTACACATCTCATCTATCCTAGGCACCTGGCACAGGAGGGCGGAAACACTCTTTGGAGATGCCTGCTTTTCCCTATTGACATTAGTTGGAATATTTTCAGTCTTGCTTCTCTGTGCCTGTCTGTTAGTCACAGGTATTTGATTTTAGGTGCCTGACATCATGTAATGTCTTTGGATGTCTCTGCATTCAGACACCCACAGTTAACAGCTGCTGGTTGTTATAAATCTCCAAAAACCTCTCCAATGTGCTACCCCAGCATCTCCATGGCACTGCAAAGACTGGCCTCTGTGTGAAGTAATTCAGGTTTAGTTTAAGGTTTGCACTCTACATGGGCCTCTTCACCTGTTGGTCTTTGTCCTAAGAAACCTCACTTTGAAAACCTAAACTCATGCGATAGCTATGGCAATTGGTATTTATTAGCTCACCTGTACGTACATTTCTTCTACGAAATACAAGCACTGACTAAAACTATAAGCCCTTTGATAACCTGCTTTTGGCAGGCTGACACAGACTAAAACATGGCTAAATTTTTATAAATTCTACATTAAAATTATTAGAACGCTTATTCATCTCTCAGCTGCTTAATAAAGGTCTTCTGTAGAGCAGCTATTTTGGCAAAGTCATTGTGCAGGTGCCAACAAAGACGTGTCTGAGATTAAATAATGCTGAGGAGTGAGACATGGAAATGTGATGGCAGGTGGCAGCTGGCCACCTCTTTAAGCAGCCCTTTGGGGAGGTTGCTCATGTTGAGTGACACAGCCCCAGGAGGAGAAAAAAAAAAAAGGCAAAGGAGACCAACCCCAATCAGAAGCTTTGTGGCAGAGCAGAAGCCTGAACACCCTTCCACTCATCGTCTGTCTTTCACAAATAATATATCTAATCAACAGTTCTAATTACAATAACAACAAAAACTACAGGTAATCAGGCTGGTAATTGAGGAATTAGGCTGGTAATGCAGGAGTCTCATACAAATGTAAAAGCTCAGACAGCCTGTTTCACCTGCAATGCGGACAGACATGCCTAGGAAAAAAATAAAAGACTGAAAATAGGGACTTTGAAGAGATACCGGACAAATACATAGACAATAACCGTCAAACGTAACCATTCTAGCAGGAGGAGTCCAATTTTTGGAGGCACTAAACAGCTGTTGCTCTCACTTCTTTTAACTGAAATTATTTACTTTTCAGAGATATTGAAGAACTGCAGGATTTTGAAGGGAGCATGGAAACATTTGCTGCCTACAAGTCTTTCAGGGTTAAATAAAACTCTTCTGTGCTTGATGAAAGAGTCTGGTTTCTGTGGAGCAAATCAAAAAATGCTATTTCTATTTCCCAGCAAGTAAATTATGAATTTCTAATATGAAGAGGTCTTGCAATTTGTCTTTAAAAGAGCCCCCAGGAGCAGCGAGGCACGATTACTGTTGCCTTGCAGATGGGCTCAGGGAAAGGTGCCACCCCCTGCACCACGCAGACGTCTCCCACCCACCACTGCCACTTCCCCACGCTGCTGCTGGTCCCATCTAAGCCCATGCCTGTAAGCAGCAGTAGGACATGAGCAGGGAGCTGTGCCCAAATTAACACCATTAAAGAACTTTTGGCTCCACCACGGCTCAAACGTTGCTAACATGGTGCTCCTGTGCCAGGGAATTCAGGAGCCATGTTTGTGAGCTTAAGATTTTTTACCCCATGACAAAAAGTGAGCAGGGGAAGAAAAAGAGAGAGAAAAAGGGTTTCAGATGTATCTTGCTGTATTTAATCTTCTCTTTTAAGAGCGGGTGAAGATATAGGATGCCGAAACACTCTATAAAGCTCAGACATCTGGAGCGGAAAACAGTTTAGTTCCACAACATTGGCGCTGTCAGAAATGTATTTAAGAAATACTGAAATCACATGGCATGTTAAAAATCAAAAATAGTGACCCAAGCTAAAGCAGGTTTTTCTTTCTTCAAAAAAAAAAAAAAAAAGGCAAACTAAGCCCAAAACATTTAGCTAAACACCACGGGGAACAAGCCAGGAGCAACTGCTATTGTGTTGGGCATGGATCCACCACGGCTCTGCTTCACCGACCTTTCGCCTCTGCCCCTCGCCAGTCAGCCAGCAACACACGGAGCACTCGAAGGGCAAGAATCCACGACTCCAGCTGCTTCCTTCTGGTCTTGCTGCCACCACAATGTCATAACATTTCCTGACAGATTAGCAGCAAGCCCCCAAATCCTTTCCTCCATCATTCTGCTCCTTGAGTCCCAGAAATATTTGTGCCCTTCTCTCTATATATTTCCAAACTCCTGCCTGAATCTTCCTCAAGAACATTCTGGGTTTGTTTTTTTCCTGACAATTTATTAATCTCCCCTATCCTTGCTTCTTTGCATGGAGTAATTACAATCAGAGGATAGAGATACAGAAGTGGCAGTGCTAAAAACAGACGTCAGCAGGAAACAGCTAAACAGGAGGATGAATTTCAAGGGAGACAACAGCACCAGGAAAGGGTGGGGGAGGACACATGCAGACAGGACCCACACTGACTGTGAATGCAAACCACTGTCACAGTCGTATTCGCAGACTCTCACCCCAAGTCCAAGAAAGCAACTGAAGGACTCCACAAGCCACTGTACCATCCACCACAGCAAATTCTGACTTAACATTCAAGAGACCCTAGCTCACAGCAGAGAACTACCACCACCAGCACAGTGCACAAGGATGGGCAGAACAAAGCCTTTCCCACCCTCCGGAGAGGGACTTCAGATACCTCCTGGGCTTCGGAACTAACTGGAGCTGATGGACCATTCAGTGATGACGAGCCACATATACTGAAAATGCCAAACAATAGTACTGGGTAGGCTTTTCCATCTGCAAGTTTCAAAACACTTCAGAATGGAGGGTGGATGGTGAGGCACAGACTGACAATGTTTCTGGACCCCAGTCACACAGAAAGCCTGAGTGGAGAGCCCAAGCTATCTATCTCTTGGTAAAGGTGGTATTTCTGGATTCCGGCAGACTCCAGCATCTGTCCTACTCCTCGGGCCCAAGCTGCACCAAATACCATTTCTGCTGCTAATGCCAAACACTGATGGCACTTTTAAAACAGACGTGGAAAACACGTGTTATGGGCCTGAGTGGAATTTCTGACCACACACAACACAAGCACACAATCGACCGGTCATGAAATGGGATGCCAGGGCTAAATTGCTTATCCAGCACTATTTGTAAATCCAGTTGGTGAAAGGTATTAGATTATGATTTGCACATAGGAGTCTCTTATAACCACAAGTCTAGGCCCTGGATGCTAGAAGACCACTATGAAACCACTGTGAGATGGCTATGTGAGAAATACACTTAAACAACAAGTGAGAAATACACTTAAACAACAAACTGATATAGCAGGTGAGGCCTTACCATCTCATCTTGGGTTGGATCATTGTCAAAAATCTTCATAGGAGGAGGAAGAGGTGTGTGAGACTCTTCATCCGGTTCATCTTCTCCCCAACCCTTCTTGCTCTTCTGAAGAAAAGTTAAATATAATTAGAAGTAGGGATAGGTTTCTTTTATCTTTTTAGATATCTGAGCCCTACCACCAGGTTTTGAGTCTGTTAATACTAATACTGACTCAGTATTACACTGGGTGGACAGAACTGCAGGTAATGCTAAACATCATGGAAGAGAAGCAATAAAGACGTAAGATTTTGCTGGTTAAACCTAGTGCATTCTAAGAGTTACAGAAATACAGTTTACAGGTCAGCCAAGCAGCTAAGGTGGTTACAGCTGTCTGTGTGCTGATGGAAAAGTATTTTTTTAACTTAAATGAGAACAGGTCAATATACAGTTTTTAAAATGTGTTCCTCTATTTGTGTTCAGTTAGTATCTTCTCCACTTTTGGCTTGTAATTCCTTATTTGCTTTATCAGGAAAGAGCTATTCTGGCAAAGAACATGCCTGCAGAGAAACTGCAGCTACAAATACATAGCAGATTTAACAGAAACATGGCTATTTCTCTGAGTGTTTTCTTTCAATAAGAAATTACACTGCCATGGTAGGATAAAGGTAATATGAACCTCAGCAAAAAGTGATAACAGCTGCTCAAGAACAACTTCATTTCTATGCTTGACAGCTTTCTAATAGGCCATTAAAATATCTAATCAAAGGACAATAATATATGCAGACTTTGAAATGCTGTTCCCTATATATTCCATTGCTCTTTGGATGACAATGATGTTTGAAACACAGCTTCAATCAATGCAATTTTACATATAATTTGCTGTTCCCTCTAGACCCTAAGGGAACTGCATTTACTCAAGCGTGAATCACACACCGAAGAAGAGGCTATCAGAGATATGGTCTTTCCTTCATCAAACACCAACACATACCTCATCTGCGCTATCTCCTTGAGGAGTGGTTTCATCTCCAGTCTTCGGTGAGCCGAGGTCAAAGCTCTTCCTGCCATCTCGCACCTTCTTTTGTTTCTTGATGTTGCTCTCAGTCTTCCCACTGTTCAGCCGGCGCACAGGACTAGTCAACCATTTCTTCAGAGTGTTGGTTGAGCGCTTGGGGCCAGGAGAGCTCTGGATGGAGTTGAGGGACGGCTGAGGTTGTAAGTTGGCCACTGAATCAGACTTGCCCCCATTGTCATTGGAAGAGACTGAATATGTGTCTGGAAGAAAACAATGCAGGTGAGAGATCATACCGGCACCTCCTCGATTTCTTAGTACACACCAAGCGCTTGGCAGTCCTAAGTATGAAAATACAAGCTGCCTCGATGAAAGGTTTGGTGACCTATGGATAGTGTGTAAACTTTACGGCACACCAGAGAGAGGGATGTGCCCTGCAACAGGCATTTTTCACAATCTTACACACTTCCCTCATTTCCTACTACACTATCTGTCCTCATGAAAGATCGTAGACAGCAAAGTTACCTAGTTTTTGATGAAAGCCTAAATTTCATGCTAATTGCAGAATTTCTCAGCTTCTTCCCAGAGATTTCATTGTGAATTGCCAGGAAGAAAATAAGCACAAAAAGCAGATTACTACAGGAGACCTGACAGCCACCAACACTTTGTCAGGTTCTGATTCCATAAACGTTTCTCAGCTGTTTCCAGATCCCAATGACATTACTGTTAGTTACACTACTTATTACCTTTTGAAGGTTATTTGAAGCACCTTAAAATTATCTCCTTTGCCCCTGAAAGCAATTTGTCAGAAGACTTCACACTTTCCCTAGAACTGAGAAACTGGAATGAACAATTACAAAAACTGACAAATTGTTAAAACCAAAGGAAACTCCCAAGAAGAAGATACAAGGCAGGCTCAAAGTTAAAAAGGTTTTCCATTATATCCAAGCAGGAGATTCTGCTGAACTGTATCCAACTGCAATTATTGATACACATGTTCAGACTAGCACCTTAGAAATGACTGCAACCTCCCTTACCGCCCCCAAAAGCAGCAGACCAAAGATGTGTCAATGTCAGTAAATCTATAAAACCAAAGCAAACAAGTTGCTGGAAGATTTCTCAATTGCCCTTTAGGAACAAGTGCCCTGCTTTCACCTTTCTGAAACCATAGCAAGGCAACTCCCTCCCCAAGAGCAGTCAGGGACTGCGATTGCTTAATTCCACACTGTTTAAGACAAAATTTATTTTTTTTTTTACAGAATTTAGAAATTGTCACATTCCTGTAAGATACATCTCAGACTGCACATAAGAAAGCAGTCAGCTGATGTTATTAAACACTTTTAGATGGTTATCTTTGAATCTTTTATCTGCCCCAGCAGAAAACAAAAATATAAGTTACAACACGTGAAAATAGCCTGGTGCATCCAGATATTCTCAGTTCAGCAATAAATATCATCAGAGATACTGGGTAGTACACATGCTGAAGGAGAGCTACTGTCCCAGAGAATCATTACCCATATTGTTTTAGAAGCCAGTTCCTGCTACCTGCATGCAGAGCTCCTACCCCACCGGGCAGAGCTGCTGCTCACAGCCAGCTACGCACCGAGCAGAGACTGCAGCCTGCCTTGTCTGCCAGCTTGTAAAATGCAGACCGTGAGGGTTATGATATTTTATAACCATAGACAGCCTCAGTCAGAAGTTGAACCAATAATTTATTACATACCTGAGGTCAAAAGTTAGGTTTTTAGAACATACGAAAGTAATTGTAACAAGCTAGAGGAAGTCAAAGTTCATTTCCCAGACAGGAAGAAAATCCAAATCATCTGTCTTCTGATGACAGGCGTGAGCGTGAGAGGGGCTGGGAAGAGGACGGATCCCAGGTGGAGCTGCTGGGGTTTTTCTGACCTTCCTCCACAAGGGCAAAGTAGCAGTCTTATCTCAGAAAGGCCTGGGTTTAGCCAGCTCCTGCTGATGTTATTTCATGCACACAAAGTGGCGTTAAATCAACTAGCACAAGATAATATTTGTCAGTGACCAGCTTATCTTCCACTCAATAGGCTTTAGATAGTCTCCCCTCGCAGGCTCCACGTGATGCTCTGGGAGTTTATCAGCGCACCTTGCATCAGCAAAATTCAGGGGTTTGCGATTTTGATTTTGATTTTGCAAGTGCCCTCACCCCTCCGTCCCCTCCAGCAGCACCAAACGCCCCGCAGGCAATGGGGGAAGCTGGAAGGCTCCTCGCCAAGGGGCTGTGCCGAGCCGGGTGTCCTCAGGTGCCCGTGTTCCCGCTGCCGCTGCAGTAGGATTAACTTTGGGAATGACTGGTGCAAAGGGAGCTGGGCTGCAGTCACCGAAGGAGAAATGCTGGAAACGATCGTTCTGTGGAGGCTGCCACTGTCAGGGACGATTTGGGGCAAGCAGCCGTATCACAGCCTCCCCCTTTGCTGGGGACTGGGCTCGGGGGGAGGTTGAGGACAACCGAGGACAAGCTGATCTTCCGACATCTTTGTTGATTAATGTACAGAGAGGTTTTTACTACAGCTTGGAAGTAACACAGTCCAAACCCCTACCTCCAGTCAATGGCATCTTGCCAATTTAACTTTTAGTAAGGGAAGGAAGCTGATAGGAGGTTAAATGGAGCCTGGGACAACCCCATCCACCCCAAGGATTTGTTATCGAGAAGCACAATCCTACCTCAGCCCAGTGGGCTTGAGGCAGGGCGAAACCCAGGAACTCTGAAGTCCATGATGGAAGGGACAGGGACCTCCCTTCCCACCGGGAAACACCCACGGTTTCAGAGTGGGGCCAGGCTCTGGCCTTGCTGCTCCCTCTCCTTTGCCCAGGCAGCACAGCCCCGTTCGGGGCACAGACAGACACACAGCACCTCTCACACCACAGCGCTCTGCTCAAGGCCATCCTGGGGAAGCGACGGTCAGTCATTATCCCCTCTCATCCCGGGGAGGGCAGCAGGTGGGCAGAAACAGCCCAAGTCCTGAGCTAGCCCACAGTCCATCCTACTTTGTCCAAAGTTTAACCTAGAGCCAGGAAACCTCTGCAGACCAAACATCAGGCCTCCAGAGCCACAAGCCATGATGAAAGCCAGCCCAAAGGTTTCCAGAGGGAGGTGTGTTACACCACCGTGCAACGACCCCACTCGAACGAGGCTCTGCATTTTCCCACCCAAGGTCATGCCTTTGGTGAAAAGGCTGTTTACCAAGGGGTTACTAAATCTCGGTTGTACCATGCTGTACACAACCCTGGCAGATATAAAGTCTCCTTCTTTCTCCTTGTCCACTGAAGTGCCCTGGCTGACCACCGTAAGTCATCTGGGACAGAACCTGCTTGGGCTTCACTTGGCCCATGCAGCCCAAGACTGGAAACGTGGCCTTACCTTGCCTTTACATGGTAACGTGGTCTCCACTGGCTGAAGGACAGGCAGGGAGGTGGAAGAGAAAGGCTAGTATAAATCTCTCTGCTCCCCAGCCACCATGAGAGCCCCTCAAGGGCTACACCCAGCCCCCTACACACGTACAAAGCACTCCCATCTCATGGTCCCGCTTCGCACCATTGCCAAACACGCGCTATCCAAAAACCACACCGAGAGTCCACACACAATATTCATAACCTTTTTTCCTTTTCTTTTTTAAAGGAACTGCAAATATGGACACGTTTGTGAGCAAGTCACACCTGCCATTTGCCAGCCCTGCTGAGGATGATTTCTTTGCACATAAAGCAGGTCACCTCAACATGGTCACAGAGGCAGGACTGGAGCTCAAGGAAGAGCAGAGCTCACGAAATGAGAGACAGAAACATGCAACACAAAAAATACACTAAGCAAACTGTATTGGTAGAGCTGTTTGGAAAAACAGTTTGCTTAAGAAAAGCCAGAGAGCACTTTGGAAAGAAGCAGCGGCACGTCGCATGGTAATTCAGGCAGCCGCCGCTGCCCGCAAGGACCAGCAAAGCAGCGGCTGCCCTCGCACTGCACCAGCTCTGCAGGAATGTCAGGGCTCGGCAGAGACATGCAGCAAGCAGTTGTCCTGCCAGCAATTTCCCAGGACACACGTGTCTAAAAAAAGGTATTTGGTGAAGCGAAATGTGTGTAGGGAGGTCAGCAGACTAGTGTGGCTAGATTGATTTCCGGGCCAAGCCATTCATTCGGACGGAAGAAACGATGGTTTCCAAAACACCACTAAGCAAACCTCCAAGAAACTTCTGGCAATAGGACTGTGACAGATACTCAGCCAGACCAAAGAGCTTTAACATTCAGAGCTTTTGCACCACCGGAGGCATGAAGTATTTGTTGCTGTTGCTCAAATGAACAGACATCTATAAAAGCACAGCTCTTTTACTTGAAAAATGGAAGAGGTTCCTTGGGTGAAAGGAAAAACAAAAATCTCATAGACCCGTTTTAGACGCACAGTTGTATTCCCATTTGAGTCAGCAGG